ACTTGCTCAGGTGGCTCTGGCCTGGACAAAGAAGCTGGGTCCGCGGTATGCCAAGCTTTTGTTTTTCACACCTATTACCGCTTAGGGTTGGGGTTCGGAGGTTTCGGAATTGGGGCATAGGTTTGGGAAGTCTTCTTGCAATCTGACATGCAGGTTGCATCTCTACTCCCGAACCAGCTTGCCTAGAAACCCCAAAGAGCCCCAGCAATGAATCAGAAACCCCAAGAGCCGCCGTACTACAGAAGTCTAATTTTTTTGCAATACTATGGTTGATGATATAATTCATGCATTACCCGTAATAAGGAGTATGCCATAACTCCCATAGTCTGGGGTTCTTAAGGAAAATGCAGGATATATCTCATTAACATTATTCCATTCGAGACCTAAACAACGATTCCATGTGCGCTTTTGGTGGCTCCAGAGTCCATCAGAAGAACAAAAAGAGGAATACTAGTTCATAGGCTTCCTTAAATAGTTGCAGTATAACAAAGCTTCGCAACACTTAGGGTTCCTTATTATAGCTTTAGTAGACCAATGCCTCTCAGGAACTTTGCCTGGCCATATCTGTACCTGGTGGATGAGTGGCCCACCGCGCGTTGGGCCAAGCAATTCCGGGCTCCCACGCCGCTCGCTGGATTCCGAGTTCTTCGGACCATTGCGATGATGAAGATGACAATGATGGGGATGTGATGACGATGACTCTTTTCGAAGCTCTTGCTGATGGCGAAAAGGTTGATGTTTAGGCCGTTGATGCCGCAGCTGCGCACCCCCCTCCCCCCAGTGCTGCGAGACTTTCTGGGTACTGCCCAAGAGGTCCCGAGAGCTTAAGGCGAGTGCAGGCTTGAGGGCGAGAGCCCCCGCCAAGGTCCAAAGCGTGGAAACTGAAACCCCTGCGATTCCGTATCAAATCTCGAAAGGTGAGATGAAAAGGGGAAGGATCATGGACTCTTCTTTGGCATTCCCCCATCTACCTCCATCCCACCGGTACCCAGGCTTTTGGGCCTCAGAACCGTCCTGAATCACTTAAGCTTCCCGAACCCAGTCCTCGCTTTTCAGGGCTTACGGAGGTGTGGCTCTAAGGGTTTTGGGCTTTCAGGCTTTGTCAAGAATGTGGTAATCAGGGCTTCAGGCTTTCAGTGCCTTGTGATGTCGAGCTGTGAGGATTGTCATGTCATCGACGCAGGCACGGCATCGGCTGGGAGTTTATTGGGCTTCAGGGCACGTCCTCCGTGGGGTTTGGGGGTTTAGGGTTTCGGGTTCAGGGCTTAGGGCCTCAATTTCTTGGAGGTTCGGTGCCGGCCTTGTTAGGGCCAGGATGGTGGAGTCCTCGTCCTACGAACCCTTAAACAGAGCCGTTAGTCCTAGTAACCCTTGTAGCAACCCCTTGAATTAAAGGAACCCTTTTAAGGAACCGGGTTCTTAAAGTCAAGGGTTACCCTTTTTTTACGTAATCCTTTCGCAAAGGATCTTTCTATTTTGGGACTAAATGAGTAGGGGTCCTTTGTTAGGAGATCGACTGAAGCTCTGCCCTACAAGACAGATGCCAGATCTCATCTCAAGAGTCCACTGGCAACACACCGCAGTTCGTAAATCGCTTTCTCGCTGCCTTTGGCTTCCCATCCCAGACAGTTGATGCTTCATGCGGTCTAGCAAGCTCCAAGTACCGAGGCCTTCGGCTTGTATAGTATATTCATTGTATCCTGTGATGCTTTACTATATTCTTGTATGTTATGTCATGTTATGTTACATTCTGTTACATTATGTTATGTTCTGTTACATTTGTTCATACTACTGCCTACTGCCATATCCACCACGCATTCTCCGCCCCCCTCCCAACTCCAGCGCCCCGCAGGATCAAGTTGTTCCGCAGGAGATGCACAGCACCTCGGCAGCACTCAGAGGCTTCTCGTTGCTTCAGCCTTCGGAGACCCAGATGGGACTTTCCGAAGATTGGGGGTACCTTATTTTGGGGTCCTTACAATAAGGATCCTACTATTTAGGGTACTATACTAGGGTCCCCTATTTTCGGAAATCCCCATATCTACCAAGTTCATGATGTAAGGGCCTAAATAGTACCCTTTTGCCCCTTTTTCTTTTTGGGGTTCCCTTATTAAGCCCAACAGTAGCAAAAAGGGTACCCTTATTATTAAGGGGCTACTGGGGAACTTAGTAATGCAGGGGCCTAAATAATTACGAATACTATGTTGGAGCTCGTTATAGCTGTAGCATACTATGCCCTGAACCCTACTGTAATAATTCAGGCCCCTACATGAGCTAGCATTCCTTGAGTAATGCCCCCACTCAGTAACAGTTGACAGAGGCTTATAGAAGAGCCGTTAATAGTAACCTTATTGCAGACTGTCACTGCATGGGGAGCAGCACTCAAATCACAGGTAGTGTTGTGCATTGGCTGAAGATGTTGGGCTTATCAATGATCCCTTGAATCCTCAAGTCAGCGGCCAAGTGTCGGAGGTTGAGGCTTGCTGCAGACCGGTGGTAACTCTGGCATTGTAGAGTTCAGGTAAGAGCTATTTCAGCAAGGCATTCGGTCAGGAAGAGCCTTCGGCTCTCAGGCGTCCGGGCTTTCAAGAACCTCGTTGCTTAGCTTAGGATGTACGAAGCTCCCTTGGTCTGGGAAGCCACCATGTAAAAAGATGCTGATGCGCAACACCTAGTGTCTTCCAACTTTGGTTGGCAACCTTGAGCCTGGTAGCCTTGTCCTCTCTATCAGGAAAGATCTACGAGACGGTTCCATCAGAGAAGTTCCTGGTGGAACTACCACTACAGCACATGGACATCGATGGTGGCTTGGAGTTCACCAAAGCCTCCCGCGGCTGTTCCTGTAACCCAAGACCTTGGAAGTACTAGTAGTAGCAGTAGTTGTAGGAGCAGTAGCAGTAGTAGTAGTAGTAGTAGCAGCAGCAGCAGCAGCAGTAGTAGTAGTAGTAGCAGTAGAAGTAGTAGTCGTTGTTGTTACGAGGCGTTATGACATGGGAATGCAACATCCTCTTCTCCACAGAAATCCCTACTTGGAGGTTCATGGGCAGTTCTAAGTGGGGTCATAAGTCGGGTAGCTGTACTTATGAACCCATATTGGGGGACTTATAACGCCACTTAGAGATACCCATGAACCTGCAAGTAAGCCCTCAACCCTAAACTCTATCCACCAAGGCTTTATGGATGCCACGCACGATCATGTCTTGAGCTGGTGCGCCAACGCCGCTACCCAGGAAGGCTTGCTTCCCCGGTCACGGCTTGAGATTTAGGGTTAGAGCCCAATCCAATGTATGTTGTAAGCCTGAGTAAGTGCCAATATGGGTTCCTTATGATATTTGCATTAACTATGCCCGAAAACTCATTCCAATTATCAAGGCCCCTATGTTTGTTGTTTCAACCCAGTGAGATGACGTGCCGTGGCGGGTGCACCTGGCACCCACCATGCAGTAGGAGAGCCAACGGGCGATTGATGTACAGCTGCCTGTGCTTCAACAGAAAAGCGCTGCCTAAACCCTAAACCCTAAACCCCTACACCCTAAAGCCCAAAACCCCAGGGATCAGTGTTGTGTCGCAGCCGAGAGCTTATGTCTAGCAGGCTTCCTGTTGCTGTCAAGGTCCCGAAGGACTTACCCCTGTGTTCGCACCACTTTTAGGCTACTTTTAGGCTTCTTCTTGCTGCAAGCTGTTCTGATGACGAAGAGTGTAGTCCAAAACCAATATAAGTTGGAATTCGTGGAGTAGAGCGGTTTTCAGAAACGCAGAGTGTATACACCAAGCGGCAGAAGGTAGGGCCTTCCCTGACCCTAGGGCTCCAAGTATACAGATAGTACCTACTTTGGGGTCTAAAGTCTCTCTAAGTGGTACCGACTTTGGGCATTTGGAGCCCCAGGGTGAATGCAAACCAGCTCGCACATCGAAATCCTGCAGTCGAGATGCGCTCATCTAGGTGGCACTTTGGGAAACTTTTAAATGTCCCTTATGGTCCCTATAGAGGTACCTATTCATAAAAAACTCTTTCAGGGCCCCAAAACTACAACCCAGTATAGCTTATTATTGTACACCATGGCTCACTATAGCATACTTTTCAAGGCCCCAAAACTGCAACCCAGTCATGTGCTGCCCTGCTTCTCTCAGAGGGCTCAAGTTGCAGTCGGGGTGTGGCCTTCGAAGCTAGAAATGGGAGAAGTTTCGCCTCAACCAAGGATCCTTCAGGTTCATTAGGGTTTAGAGTTTAGGGTTTATAGAAATTCCGACTCAATTAAGGATCCCTCAGGTTCAGAAGGGTTTAGGGTTTAGGGTTTGGGATGCTGGTGAGGTTTGGGAGCGTAGAGTTCAGGACTTAAAGGTTTTGGGGTCAGGGTTGGGTGGAGCCAGGACTTCGAAATCCAAAACCTAAACCCTCGAGCCTTGTAGAAGCCTTATAAAGAGCGAGCTTAAGCCTCAAGTAAGTAAGTAGGGCTATAGCATATAGCTGCTTCGAGCCCAGTTAGTCATAAAGTTACGTACCTTTCCCCATCTCCCTCCTAAACCCTAAACCCTAGACCCTATAGACACTATAGACCCTAAACCCTGAAACCCTAAATTTCCCCATCTCCCTCCAAGAGATGATGCTCTGGGCATCCCTCCTCGGCCTGTCCCTGTGCCTGCGCACCGCTGCAGAAAGCTGCCTGGCGGCCGCGGAAGCGGCGATCGCCAGGGCTCCGGAAAGAAAGCAGAGCTTTGGACCAAGAGTTGGCAAAGTTTTAGGGCTGAGGGCAATTAGGCTTACAGAAGCTTCGGGGTTTTTTGGGGTGTAAGGAGTTTGCAGTTTGGGGCTTAAGGGTTGAAGGGCTTGGTGGTTTAGAAGGTTGTTAAGGTTCAGGGTCCTGTTTAGCCTGTTTAGGACTTAGTGTACAAGTTGGGCTTTGAGATCGGGCATCAATTGATTTGGCGGTTTCCTCTTTCCTACAGTGCATTTGGACAACGTAGACCAGTGTTTGCGGGAATACAACGACCAGCCTAAGGAACCTTTATACAACCACCCATCTGTTCAAGCGCCATTTGGCGCAGTACTTCTGCCCGATGACCGCATCCCAGCAGCTTACAGTTGCTGAAATCGGTGTGTTCCACGGTCATTCAACTGCGGTGCTCGCAGCTGTTTTCCACCAAGTGATTGCGGTGGACGTTGAAGAATCGCACGTCGGCCCAATTGGTAAGCTCAGCTTCTTTCGCACCAGAGTACTGTGATGCAGTGCCCCTGTGTTCGAACAAGGTACCTGCGACTAGCTTCTCTTCAAACAAACGGATCGAGAAATGTCGTGTTCTTGACGGGTGACTCCGGTGCGGACCGTTGGCACGCCTTCCGTTCCAACCGGATTGATGCAGTCGTCATTGACGCGGACCATCGCTACTAGACAAGCTACAGCTTCTGCTACGTAGTATATTTATGGCATATCCAGTGCAGTATAGCATTCTTCTACCATATGATTGTAGAGATATAAAATATACACAACATTTTGGAGTAGATCGTGCTATGCTATAGTATATCAGAGCTACACCAGTCCCGAAGCCCCATTACGATTATGCCTCGAAACCCGAAAACGAAAAAAAAATAAAAATAAACCCGAAACCACGAACTTGCATGGACGAAAAGAGGTGTGAAAAATTAAACACCGAGAAGAATCTAAACCCTAAACTCTAAACCTCTAACCCTGAACCCTGAACCCTAGACCCTGAACCCTAAACTCCGAAACCCAAAACCCCGAACGTCTCAAGCTCCAAGGCCCTAAGTCCAAAGCTCAGAGGCCGCCCCTCAGCCCCAGTGTGTAGGTCGTAGCTAGGATGTACTATAGCTTAGGGGCTGAGTAGGTAACCGTTAACCTTTTGGGGCATATGTAACCATAGGATCTACCTTGTCTTGGTGCTCTTCTGGTTGGCTCTTAGGACTTTAACTTTTTGGGGTTTCTGTATGAACTATAATAAGGAGGCTAAAAGTTTAACGTTTAGGAGGGGTTCAGAAGTCAGCCAAGTTATGATGCAACAGGGTTGTACTACAATATCTATAGTATAGATCTGATATGTTGCATTGTACCAGATAGCTGGGAGGTTCTTTCAAGCAGGGGATTCGGTTTTAGGGGTTGTGATATGAAGGAAGCTACTATTTAGATATATCTCCGGTACCTTGTTCTCTTGCAGTTTGAAGACCGAAGAACCTTTGTCAGGACCTCAATCAAGCTAAACCCGAACCATGAATCCTTCAACAGCCAAGTGGCCCAGCGCCCTGAGTGCTAGATGCATTCGTGACAGCGCATCACTGCTCAGACTCAAAGGAAGGCCAAGCAGGAGACAAGAGCTATGCTGCTAATGAATGTGTATAATGACATATCTCTATAGAGAGAGAGATATAGATATATGTTGTGTGTATGCATATATATATATATGTATACAGACGTATGCATGGCGTAACTGTTTCCTTATGGAGACCCTGTTGAAAAATCTCAAAACCTGACCACCGTGAACTGAGGCTATGAGTCGGTTCTCGCGGACATATCCAATGCGTTGAGCGTGAAAACCGTGCGACTTGGGCCTCCGTTTGACTTCATTCTAGCTTCCATTCTACTAGTTGTTTTGGTAGGGACTGTATGTGGAAATAGTTCACGGGATCCCAATTAAGAGAACTACCCATATAGAACCCTTATGGTACCCTTATAGAGACCCTAAACCCCTAAACCCCCATAGGAGTTTTGCAGGATGCTTAGGGCCCTCAGGGTTTGAGAGTTGGGGGCTTTGAGAATCGGGTAGATCTCATACTGTTGATGAGATAAATCCTGCATTACCTTAAGGACCCGTAACTATGGGAATTATGGTATATTCCGTACTATGGGTAATGCAGGATTTATATCATCAGCTGTAGTTTGTTTCTACGGTCTTTCTGGGGAGTCACTAGGGTTGTCCAGGGGTCCTTGACCTTGACTTGGATATTGGAGTGTTTAGGGCAGTTTTGGGTGTTTTGGTGCTTTTAGGTTGGGGTTTAGAGGTCTCTGAGGTTACGGCTAGGGTTTAGGGATTAGGGGTTTAGGGGTTTAGGGTTTAGGGTTTTTAGGGTTTAGGGTTTTCGGGTATAGGGTTCACAAGTAGCGCTAGGGTCTTCGCAAGTGAGGATTGTCGGGTGTAGGAGTCGGTTCTGTAAGCACCAGAATGGACCAAGGGCTTCTTCACATGTGCTTCTTGGGACCTCTATGGGTTTAGGGTTGAGGGGGTTTAAGGGGTTTAGGGTTTAGGGGGTTTATGGGTTTAGGGGGTTTATGGGTTTAGGGGTTTAGGGGGTTTAGGGGTTTAGGGTTTAGGGTTCAAGAACTAGAACAGGGTTTTGGGCTCCGTTGTAATACACTTACCATGAAAACAAAGGGGTTGTGGGTTCACTGTCTCTTCTGAAGTCTGTCAGTCATCTTGATAGTCTCGGGTCCGTTGGCTTAGAAACTGTCTGAGCATGTGGTTTTGGATAATCCTGTTGACGATATAAATCCTGCGTTACCTTAATATGGGAGTTATGGTATATGCCTTGGTATGGGTAATGCAGGATTTATACCATCAACAGTATGGAAGCCTGAATAATAACAAGCATGGGTTTCCTTAGGGTTCCTTATTGCAACGGTACCAAAAAAGGCGCCCAAAACAGGCCAGTGCCCAATCCTCTTTCTTTCAGGAAGATCCCTCTGGGACTATTACTTGGAGGTTCATGGGTAGTTATAAGTGGGGTTATAAGTCCCCTAATATGGGTTATAAGTATAGTTGGGGGACTTACAACCCCACTTATATCTACCCATGAACCTCCAAGTAGGTGGGTCGTTTCATACTATGTTTAAGCCTAGTGTGAACCCTTGAGTCTTAGTAGAAGAGCTTAACCAGCCTGCTCCAGGGCTTTCATCTTAGATCGCCAATGGGAGAAGTTTAAGCCTTTTAGGCCTTGTAGATGAGGTCTATCTTAAAAGCTTGAACTCTTTTGGGCGTGGTTGGTGAAGAAGAGGGTCATATTCGGATCCCTTTTAGGCTCGAAACCCAGGAAGCACTTTGCCTTCCACGACTATCAAGCCGCCGGCGTGAGGAGACTTTGTCGAGCATCAGTAAAGCTTCAGTTATGTGGAGCATCGGAGCACTCAGTAAGCTGCTTAAAAAGTTAAGGTATCCGGTATGACCCCATCTTATCCCCGATGTAACCGCCCACTTACTACCATGTCCGGGATCCCAGGATCCAGCTCCAAACTCAAAACCCCGAATACCTCAGATCCAAAGCGCTAGACCTTAAAAAAGTTTTAGGGTTCAGGGGTTTAGGGTTTAGGGTCCTAAAACCCGACGCCCTAATCCCTAAACACCCTCTAGCTCATATCCCCTTTGAATTCCCTCGCCCGCGAGTGGCCCATAAGGCAGGCCATTGCGGAGTTCGAAGAGAGGGGAGCGCTGGTGAACTGCCAGGCCATCGGCTGAGCCAATTCAGGAGTTTCCGATGGAAAGCCCAGCCTAATGTAATAATATAGGGGGCCTCATCAATAATTACCTGTACGATTTTGGTGGTTCCTTATTCTCTTGTAGCTCTAGTAGAATGGACCTCAACACCCTATTCTTATTTTTGAGGCCTCTCCAATAGAATTACTAACACTACTCCTTCGGGTTCCTACTGGTTCTAGCAGAAGAGGCCCCGAAAAACCTCCTCTACTTATCCAGGCAAGCTGATATTATTTATCGTGGTCAGAATAGTTAGGGTTTAGAGGGGTTGTGTAGGGGCTTCTAGGGATTTAAAGGGCTTCATAGAGATTTGTAGGCATTCGCTGGATGCTGTTGGGTCGTGACCGTCCGTCCTCAACCTCGAAACCCTCGGCCATTGTAGGAAGTGCTTCGTACCTCAAATGTTGGTTTTAGGGTTTAGTGGTCAGCCAATTTGTATTTTTGCCTTTACCTGAGCCTTTGTGAAAACCGTCGGCAGGCAATCGGTTCGGGATGGGACGGCTCTGCTTGGTACGACGGTTGGAACGCCGAAACCGAGACAAAGGTGTCCGAGGGCCGGCTCTGCCGGCGCGGGAAGCTGGGTAACCTGGCACCCTCTTTTGTCAACAAGACCTTCTACGTCTATCAGCGGCTCGGTTTAGGGTTTAGGGTTTAGGGTCGATTGTTGTTTCGTCGGGAGGGCTATAAGGGGTCGCAGCGAGCAAGCAGCGATACGTCGTTCCCCACACTTGCTTGCGCCAGGCCACCTTGAAGCCGTACATCCTAAACCCCATACCCTGGACCCAAAACCCCTTATAGTACCCTTATAGAGCCCTTTAAAGGAACCCTTATAACCCCCTTTTATGGGAACCCCTTTAAAACCCCATACCCTAAACCCCCGAACCCCGCAAGAGAAGCCCCGCCCTCAACCCAACAAGGCGCTCCTAGGAGGCCTTTTGGTTGGTGAACTAGGTGCCCCAGTAGTACCCTTTTGCCCTTTTTAGTTTGGGGTCCCCTTATCAAAACCGAATATTAAGGAAAAGGGTACCCGTATTATTAAGGGGTTACTGGGGAACCTAGTGAAGGACACCTGAATGAGACCCAGGGGGATTTAGCCAGCAGGGTGATACTGTTGATGATTATAAATCCTGCCTTACCCAGAATGACCAATATGCCATAATTCCCGTTGTTTAGGGTCCTTAAGGTACTGCCCAGGATATATATCATCAACAGTAGTGATAATGTGGGAAACGACGAATGTACGGAATACATCATGCGTAAGCAGCTGTAACCCCCTGTATAACGATACTCCGTACTTTTTGCTACTCGTCGAGTATGGGAGCCCCCCTTGAGGTATTTAGAACCGTACGTTTAGCTACCTGTGGACCCTAAACCACCTACCACCTAAACCCCAACCCCCAAAACCCTACACCCTAAACCCTAAACCAAAGGACCCCCATCGCCGAGTTTCGCAAAGAGATGGACTGCCTGTTCCTTGCAGGTCGAGTTTCGGCGATCTTACTACCCTTGGTGAGGGCTTCGGGGGTTTCGGGCTTGGGGCTTAAGCGTGAGAGCTTAGGGCTTAGAGGGTTTAGAGGGTTAAGGGCTTAGGGTTTAGGGTGAAGGGCTTAGGAACTATGGTGTGCATTCCTGATCGTGGACACTGTGCCTCTCATCCCGAGCTCTTCAAAAGGGACAACTTATGTACATAATCTTTGCCAAGGGGTAACGCAGGAGTTTGTCCATCAGCCGTTGGAGAAACAGGTTTTGGCTGTTCGGCTGAAGCACGAGAGGCCCCTTGCTTGGCAAGAGCTACTCCCGAGCTAGTCCTCAAACTCTAAACCCCCCCAGAACTTCGAAGTCAGGGTGCTAGAGGTGCAGGGTTTAGGGCTCAGGGTTTGGG